TTTTGGCTCTGGCCATATACGTTTTCTACATACAGTTGCCAAAATTTAAATCTGTTCAAGCTCAGTCTGTCTAAATGTCCACTTTCCAAGATGAAACTAATTAAACTGAAAAAGAAATGAAAAATAAAATCTATGAAAGCAGCAAAAGGGTGCAGAAATTTAAGATGTTGCAAGACGGAACTCAAGAAAAGCCTTTGAAGGCTTCAAGAACTTAAACTGAGATAAATAAATTAAAGATTTACAACCCTTGAATGAGGAACAGGTAACTAGGATATTCTGTGGTCATTTGGAGTGACAACCTGTGGTCCTGTTTACCCAAATCCTGAGTGATTTCACAGCCGGTGGTCTGTCTCGCCTCATCTCTCTCTTCTTGGAGTCCAGCTCCGATAATGAAAGCATTAAAACCGGTAACTTGATTTCTCTTCTCTGTTGAGCTGATATCTCTGCCGGACCTTTCTGGAATGATTCTGCTGCTCCCAAGTTTTTATATTCTTGAGCTCTCGCAGTGTGACTTACTGGAGTCCTGCAAGATTTCTGGACTAGTGCAGCATGTGTCGTGCTGAAGGGGGCTAAATGCTCATTTTAAATGTAGAGATGTGTTAATCAATCAGGTTTTATGCTTTTAGTTTTCACTGGTAAAGATGCATTTCATGTTATGAAGCAAAGGAATGATTAACAGAGGGAGAAAGGGACAAAAAGATGGATGATATGAGTGAACATTTAGCAGCATTTAAAAAAACAAAACAAAAAAACCCCCCACCCTAACTGGTTACTGAATTAGAAAAACTCACCTGCAGTTTCTTACTGCTTTGTCCAAGTGATCTGTCCACAGCCCTGCAGCTGCTCTCCAGCTGGATGGCCTGTCTCTCTTGGGCTTTCAGCTCCGCCTTGACCCGGAGGACCTGAGCCCGCGCCTCGGCTTCACTGACCCACTGGGTCTCCTGGCGCTCTCTCTGCAGCTTCTCCTCCTCAAGGCCTGCTTCTACCCCCTGACAAGCAAAAGACACGGCAATGCAGAAAATAAAAACAAACCCACATCTGCTCTTAGACCACAATCTATTTTCTTCAAATGCACAGAGAAAATCTCCCAATAGATAATATACCTTTAACATTGTGAGCTTTTCTTTGATTTCCATTTCGCAGCCCTGCAGTCGTCCGCGCAGCTCCTGCAGTCGTTCCTCCAGCTGCCTCTCGCTCTCCATCTCAATCTGCAGCTCGGTGGCCCAAAACTCTTCCTCTTCCATTTCCACCTCATTCTTCCTGAGGTGCTTCTCAAGCCTCAGGATCTCCTCCAACAGCCCTCCACCTCTACCCAGATCTGCAGCGCACCCGGCCCCTCGCCCCCCTCGGCCCTCGGACCAGGCCTGGAGCTCGGCCTCGTACGCCTCCAGCTTCTTCTCCAGCACGTTCAGAGTCTCTCTTTGCAGACTGACCAGTCTGACCAAATCTTCCATGCGACAGGTCCAGAGGCCCGGGGGAGCCGTGCCAAAGGCCGGCCCCGCGTGGTGGTGAATCCCCACGCTTCCCAGGAGGAGCCTCCGCTTCCCCTCGGCATCCCCGATCCGGCCTCCGCTCAGGATCTCCCTCAGGCTCCGAGGCGCACCGGTGAAGGTCAGAGACTTCCGGCGCGGTTCACGGCGGTGAAGAGAGCCGTCGTTGGGGTGACGGAGCTTTGCAAGAGGAGGCAGGCTCTGACGATGGAGGCCGCGTTCAGGACCCCTGAGCGGGGGGCCCTCTGACGGGGGGCGTTCGGTGAGCGAGGGCCCCGTGCGATGAAGGATTAGCTGAACGTCGCCAGCGTACTGACCCCAGGTGTTCAGAGAGGCCACTGGGCTCTCATGAGGGGCTAAGTGGCGCTCTGTGTCCCGCCATTTCTCAACTAAAGTGTACCTCCCGGTGCGACCTGAAAACAACAAGCACATTAAAATAACGCACCGTTAAGAGGCGACATCACAGTGCACTGAACACAAAGCTGAACAGGAACGATAAAAACTGCCTTGATGAAAATGGAGAGAATAACTTCAAAACAAACACCACATATTAATGGGGAAGGATTTTCACTTTAGAAGCACTTCTGTTGCAAAAAAGCTGAGATTTAAATTCTCACCCACTTTTTTTTTTTTTTTTTTGTGCTTGTGTTTCTTAAACAAAATGTACAAGAAATTAAAACCACGTTTCAAAGACACCAAAAGCAAAATGCAGAACTTGGGGAGTTTTATGTGAAAAAACACAGTAACATAAAACAGAGGAGGGGTGGTGTACACTGAACATGTAACATAACTGAGAATTAGAAGGCAAATTATTTACTTTTAAAAAAAATTTTCACCAATGACAATCGGAAAAGTGTGGTGTGCATGTCTTGTTTAGATCCCTTTTAATTTCTTACATACAAATAAAATCCAGTGCAACTCATTGCTTTCAGAAGAAAGTATGTTTTAATTTAAATCACAGCACACACACAGCTGCCGTGTCAAGACTTCAGAGAGTTAACAGAGAACAAACAGAATCATAATGACCAGAGAATACAGCGCTCAATCATTCATTTGTAAATAGAGAAAGTACAGCACAACAGCAATCCGAACAACACATGGGTGTTCTAAGCCAAAAAGGGAGCAACAGTCAGAGAACTACTTCTAGATATATTGCTTGATATATGCATTCTTGGGCTGCATTGTTGCTTTACTTGGCATATTTTTATTTATTTACACATTACTGGATGCCTGTGGTGCACATTGTCCTACACGACGTGTACATTGTTCATAGCTGAAGTCTACTGACGGCCCTGACTGAAACCCCACGGCACGCCACTGAGAAGAAGTCATAGATCCACTGCATAGATCCACCTGTCAGGTGGAAGAATCAGTTGAAAGGAGCCCCGTCCCAATACTTGCACCACATCCTACGCTCCTCTATGAAGTGCGTACTCAGTCAAAGTGTACATGAGGTTGGAGATGTGCAAAAACTGGAGAATTGGGGCTGTACGGGTTACGTCAACGACCTGCACCCTCTGCGTCGTAATGGCGACATCCAAAATGGCGGAACTGGTCGCTGTTTTGACATTTGTGGTGATAAAAGTGATAGTACCACTGCAACTGTACAATTTTAAATGTACAGTTTTAAATGTACAGTATTAGGGATTTTTGGGCCAATGTTGTTGATATTCGATATGAGGTTCATCTTCCAGAAACACTGGAAGATGCAGCCAGAGTGACACCTGAATGCACTATATCACAGCACATTAATGTGTTAAAACAGATTAATCTGGTTTAGGATCTAATCCAAATAAAATCTGCAATAAAGTTGCTTTTTACAGACCCTCATCCAATCTGAAATAAAGCTTTGCAGATTTTACTTGGAAATTTTATTTTGAAAACGATGCATTAACTTCTTTCCACCTTGCCACTCTGCTCTAAGTGAAGTATGCATGACTTATTTTGAAGTTTGTGGCTTAATGGGGGTATGAATACTTTTTAAAAGTATTGCATTCAATAGAAAATTTTAAAAAATCTGTAGAGTAAAAGGTTTTCTGCAGTTTCAGCACTTCAACTGCTTTTCCCATTTGGTTCACTGATTTTAACATAGATTTCTTTTCAGATTTGACAACAAAAATTACACAGAAACGCTCAATAAACGTCAACGTGCAAGATCAATATTTGCGTTTGATCCGTTAGCGTGGTGTATGCGTGGGGAACATTGAAAGGCAGAGGAGGAGGCTCAGAGAGAAGTGCTGCTTTCACAGTTTGGCAGGATACGAAGGGGATGAGTCAGACTTTCCTTCCTCCTCCTGCGCTTAGTGGGAAGTGATGTCAATACATTCTGCTCAAGTGCCCCCATTTTTGCAGCAGCCATATGGGAAAGCGGGGTGCGTAAAGCCAAGAAAGCACCAATATAGCCCCTGATTATGGCCCACCATTTCTCAGCAGGAGCCTAAAACGAAGGCTTGAGAGATGACAGCTGCTTACATCATCAGGGCCTCTTTCTCTGTCTAAAAGCAACAGTTTGGCATTTTAGAGGAACTTACTATGATTATTGGAGAATGTTTATCAATGCAAAGAAGCACAATCGCACGAGTCGTGCGAGTGTGCACAATTCGCACACTCGACTATCACGGTCAGGGTTTTTCTGACCTCGACAGCTTTTCTTAAACAATAATGCAAATCCATTAAATTTGTGGGTTGAAAGGATCAGCAAAATGTATATGAAAGCTGACGAATGTCATGATTGAAACGCAATTTTAACGCAATTATCTCAAGATAATGTATCATTTGTCACATTGTCTCAAAACAACAAAGGTTTTAATCTTGGATGTAATAGGAACTTATTGTTATTTTTAAATCTTATTATTTTGTGCAATAACTCAAAATTATTTTTGAAATTTCAAAAGAAATATTCTTCCTCATCAGAAATAAGTTCACTTTTTGGTGATTTCAGATTCAGGTCACATTATTCAATAAACAAGCATACTGACATTTCACAGGAAATCCTAATTTTCAACCACTAAACAAATATTTACTCATTTCAGAACTGACCCTAAATGCACCACCAGTATGTTGCTGAATCTTTGCTGACTTAAACAACAGATCGTAACGTTAACCCCGTAAACGTTAGGTGGACAGAAAATGAGATCGAATGTGCAACAAAGGTTTAGTGGTAATTAGAAAGAGTTTGAAAATGTGACTATAACCAAAATTGTGCTTGGAATGTGAAGCAAAATAAGAGTTCAAAGGTCTGAAAACGAGAATTAAAGTGCAAGTGCATAAATCATGGTATAGATGCTGTTAATAAAAAGGCCGTATTGGCTGTTGCTATCCCTTGATCCTCTGTGTTTTGTGACCTGCTCTGCACACTGCCCTGAAAAACACCCTGCAGGCCAAAAAATTAGAACCGCGGGGTTCCAACATGAATGTCTGCGGAGCCTGAAATCCCATTTCGGGAATCGTAACATGATTAACAAATTGAGCTGGATCGAGTTAAGTCCTTGACAATCACATTGCCGACGTGGACAGTGTACAGAAATGTGTAATGGAATAGAAATTTCTTCATTCTCCCACAACTGGGGAAATAAAAAACTTATCTACTGATTTTATTTTCTTATTTTATAAATTATTCTAACTCCAGATCTTTCGTAAGACCTCGTAAAATTCTGAAACTCAACAAAATAAAATAAACCCTCCAAGTAACTACGTAAATAGGTAAGGGAGAAAAAAGAGAAACCAATCCTCCTTCTAAGGCTGAAGAACTAAAGCTTTTTGTAAAAAAAACAAAACAAAAAAAAAACAGGAATATTTACCTATAGCCTGGGCCAGAGCAATCACCACTTCCTGGCAGGTGGTTGCTTCTGTGACCCCGCACACAACCCTCTGGACGCCATCCACCCAGACCTTCAGCTCCATTTTGGGGTCAGAAGTGAGCGGGGCCGTTACGGTGTGTGGCCCCCAACATTATTCAAGGCTGGAATGATGGCAGTTCGCAGGAAATCCCTCTTTCTAATGTACTGTGTAGGAAACAAAGGGGGAAAACAGGAAGCGGTGAGTCACGATGCAGTCGTACGGCTAACGTTGCAGAGCTTGTGACTGGGCCACCCGTTTGTAGCATAGCAGCAAAAGTTTTACATCAACAAAGAACACAACAGGAGAAAATTATGACATGTAAGAGAGTCCAAGCGGAGAACGGACTTCAGGCATGCCTGGCCACCTGGATTAACAGTGTTGTTTTGTTCCTCTCTATGAATAGGTACATGACTGTTGGGGGTGCAGGAAGAATCTGCCAGCAGACATTCCCAAGGCCAGTTCCTGCTTTTGTACTGGGTATTAGATTGAGGCAGGGATGACATAAACATTACCTCAGAAGGGACAGAATGTGACAGGGATTAAAATGTGGGAAGGGTCTAAATAGAAAATCAAGACCAAAATAAAAAAAAAGAAGAAAAAAAAGAATCTTTTAGCATAATCACTGCTGTTTAAATTGTTCTTCATGGATTCACAAAGCGGGTATCAAGATGTGGATAATTACCGACAGGAATTCTTCAACATGCTCTTCAAGGACAGTACGTCGGGTCAGAATGAACGCCCCATCTGTATCCCTCTCTATGAATCTAACCTACACAGCTGTGTGAAAAGGACCCTTTGTCCACCAGCCCCCCCAGTTACACCTCCCCCAGCTCAGGTATTCCCTGTCCACATTCACAAAGTCATTCACTCCAGTCGGTCTGTCCTTAACCAAATGCTTTTCTACATGTATTCCAAACTCCATGCAGCCCTTCAAGGCAGCGTGAGCAGAGAAGGACAAACGTCTGGAGTTGGGCTAATTAGCTGAAGTCTACATTTTGAAAAACAATGAAAAACAAAAGTCTCCAGGAAGGAAAAACGCTTGCCTGATTGTTTGACAAATCAAAACTAAATTGTGTTTCTGTTCAGAGAATCTCATTTTTGTACAAAAACATCAAAACTCTGCTTCGTATTTGCAGGTACTGGAGTGTCGCCTGCTCGCTCTACTCTTGGCACACACACACACACACACACACACACACACACACACACACAGCTGGTCAGAAAGGGCTTTTGTCCTTCTTTTCAGACGGCCCTTAAATGGCACTGAAGCACTGAAGGATGAGAAGGAGCTGGAAAACACTCGCAGTCACGCAAACAGGGAAATCTTTATGTTCTGTGAATCAAACCTATTTTCCCCCCCTTCTTTTTTTAAAAGCAATTTCAAAATCAGTAATAGTACTGGCTCTGAGGAAAAGAGGGCACTACAGCTCAGCTGATGAGGAGGGTATCAAAATACTAAAAGTGAGAAAACACCAAAAGTTTTTTTTTTTTTTTTTTTATATATCGGGATTTTAGGTGATACACCAACATAATTAGTAGCTTTGACCAACTTTCCTTTGCTTCAACAGATTCTCAGTTGAATTTAGGTCTGGACTTTGACTAGGCCATCTTAATGCATGTATATTTTTTTCAATCTTATCCATCTCATTTTAGGTGTGAGTGTATCTAGCTACATCCATTGTTCCCATAATCTCTGGTTTTTTTTTTTTTTTTTTTTTCCCCTCTTGAGGAAAAGCATTCCCACAGCATAATGCTGTCAACTCATGTTTCACTGTGTGGTTGGTGCAATTAGGGTGATGTGCAGACTTAATTTTCTGCCACAAATAAGTCCAAAAGTTCTGTTTTGGTGTCATCTAACCAGATCACCGTCCTCTGCATGTTTGCTATGACCTCCATATGTATGTTCAACTGGGACTTCCTGTGGTTTTTTTTTTTTTTTATACCAAAATAACTGATTTTATCCATTGTGAGGCCAGATTTATGGAGTATATGACTAACAGTTTACTTCTCAAAGAATCTCCCTCCTCCTGTGGATCTCTGCAGCTTCTCCTGAGCATATAGGCTGTTTCTCAGTTTGATGTTTTTCTTGCCCAATCTGTCAGTTCAGGTGGACGGTCATGGCTTGGTTTGCATTTGTCATAGTTTTTCCATTTTAAGATGATGGATTGCACAGTTCTCACTCAGATGTACAAAGCATAAAATATTGTTTTAGAACCTAATCCTGCCCTAAACTTCTCAACAACTTTCAGACCCATCTGATCTTTTTCTTGGTCTCCATGATGCCGTTAGTTGACTAATGTTTTCCGACAAACATCTAAGGCATTCATAGTACAGCTGGATTTAATCTAAGATAAAATTACACAAAGATGGACTTTATTCTGAAATCCGGTTCTGAAGGAACAGGTATTTATTTAGAGGCATCAGAGTAAAGTTTTGCAAATAGCTACGTGAAACAGCGACGCATCATTGTTCTTCCACTTCACAATTGTTCTGCCACTCTGGGTTGATTTATCATAAAATGTACACTGATATTTGTGGTTGCAACATGACAAAATGACAACCCTCCCCCAACAAAAAACAAAAAAAAAAACAAAAAAAAGACTACATTTTGAGTTGCATAAATTAAAAAGCTCAGACTCGGAGCTCCCTTTGTTCATGTTGTATTTCATGACATTAGCTCAGAAAACCCAACTAATGATACAGGCACTGCTGTGCAGGGCACAGAGCCATCCTGGGCTTTGTGAGCTCTATTCTGTTGGCCCGTCAGAGCCGCAGCCTGGGGGGGTGCCCACCTCCTGATTTGTGCAGTCTGCATTTTGCCAGAAAAGCATTCCACAAGGCAGATGAGCTCTCGGATTTCTATTAAAGCTCAGCTGAGATGATAAACTTCTGCAAAACCTCAAATCCAGATGACTTGAGTGTCTGTTCTCATTTGTTACAGTCTGGTGTTGAGTAATAATGATTGGACCTGCATTCCTCACCGAGAAGAAAAGTGTGTGAGCAGCACCAAAGCAGCCTGCGTCCCCGGCTGCTGATGACAACTCTCCAGACCTGCAGGAGCATACCAGGCTGGCAGAGAAAAGGCTTCAGCTGGCTGCTGGTGTAAACATTCTACCATATGCTCCTGTGGGTGCTTCAACGCAATTAATATACCCTCAGTCACACACACACACATACACAAAAAGGGAAAAAGTCTAGTTATGTAGCGCTACAATGCATTTACTGAATTTACAAGCAGTCTAGCGTCACAGCTTCCCTGCATTGTGCAGGTTAGGACTTTGCTCTGGGTTCTTACACACAATATCAGTCCTTTTTACACTTTTTCTTTTTGCACAAACACAAAACTTTGCCATGTATTTATGGCAGATGTTGTACAGTGGTCAGGTTTTAAATATTGAATCTACACATACAATAGAGTGGACACATGGAGGGGTGGATGGTTAGACATACAGATGAATGGAGGTACAGATGGATAACAAGATGGACGAAGAGACGACTGGATGGGTCAAGGGAATAATGAGCATGGACGAATGAATGGAGGGACTAATGGAAAGAGGGAAGGACAGATGGATGGGTGGACAGAGTTACAAATAAATGGAAGGATGGCTCTTTTGGCAGAATAAACTCGAGAAATACAAATATTCAGATTCTGAAAATGTGTTTGAAACCCGTTTGCCGGGAGTCGGCGTGTTGGACGAAAACAAAACGAGCATTCATTCGTTACATCGGATAAAAAAAAAAAGGCTTGAGCAAAACGATCTCACAGGAAACCACCAGCCTTCTAACACTTGCTGCCTCACAAATACATTCTGTTCCACTTCCTGTCCACATTCGCTGACCATTGTTCACCCAAAACAGAGGACAATACAGCCGTACAGTGTTGAAAACACTCGGTGTTGAAAATTCTTCCCTGTAATTAACTGGAACACCAAGTAGCACAGTCAGACTAATTCAGAACAAAAGGTTCCCGATTCCTAAAAGTCCCCAACACTGCTGTTAATTAGAGACAGAAGGATATTTCTCACAGACTTGAGCAACATTACAATAATGCCCGAGCCCCTCCTCTCTGTTGGTTACCAAACTTTAAGTCAAACTGTGCGCCGAGTACAGCAACATGTAATTACAAGCAATTTTTACTGGGCTGTAATTGGCAGCAGCTCTGTTGTGAAATGGATCTCTGCGAGCAATCAGAGCCAGTCGGCGGTTTTATTGTTTAGGCACCGGTGGCAGAAAGCTCTTCCGCTCTTCCAAATATCCAACATGTGCCGAGACTACACAAATATGTCTAATTTATGGGATTAAAAATTAAGACCAAATATTGCATAGTGTCCTGCAAATGTTTCCACACTCCTAGAACTTTTTCTAGGGGTTTTCACAAATACGACAGCCACAAACTTTATTGCACCATCACTGTCCGACTAAATCACCTGGATTTAAGAAACCAAATTGTTCATAGCCTTCTACTGGTTAATTATTGACTGATCATTATATTTCAGATGGCAGCAAGTTGCTTAAACCAAACTGATGCAGGGATTAGCATCTCAATTCTTAAACAATTACAGCAAAGAAAAGATGTTGATCTATTTCAGAAGGGTTAAATTATTGACATGCATCAAACAAAAATAACAATTAAGGAGATTTCTCAAGCTGCTAAAAATAGGTTAAGAACTGTCCAACCCATCATAAAAAAAAGTTGTGAAATTATTAGGGAGCTAACATCTTTGCAGAAGAAATGTGGTTGGGGAAAAAAAAAAAACACATTTGAATGCTAGTTATTGGCGATCACTTAAAAATTTGGTCACAGAAATGATAGCAGAAGTCAGGGCTGTGTTCAAGAATGAAAGGAAGAGCATTTCAATGTGAAGGAACCTGAAAGGATAGGGACTAAACTGCTGTGTGGCCTTTAGAAAACCACTGATCAGTGAGGATATTGTGGGGAAAGAAAAGTCTTCAGTTTGGCAGATAGCTTAAAGATTGGACTCTGAAGCAAAAGAAGAAGATCATTTGGTCTCATGAGTCCAGGTTTACCTTCCTCCAGAGAGATTGGCGTATCAGGGTAAGAAGAGAACTGCGTAAAATTATGCACAGGCCAACCTTACAAGCCATTGGGGGCGCTACTGTGAATTGGTGAGGAGGATGAGGTCAGCTGAATATACTAACCAGGTTATTCCATCAGTGCATTTCTTTTTCCCTGATGACGCATTGTGCAAGGGGAACATGAGTTATCATTTTCACACAATGATTGGGCACCACAATGTCCACACCTTAAACCCACAGAGACTTTTGGATGTGTGCTAGAAAAGAAATGGTGTGTTACCAACTCTTTCATCACACTAGAAAAAACCCAGATAGCACATGATGTTAAATCAACGTTGAAAAATAGTTAGAATCGTTGATT